ACACACACACACACACACACACACACACAATCACAAGAGACAGGGCCACAAACTGTGGTTTGCACTGTCACTTTTCCACTGTCCTACTAAATTACAAAATGTTGCCCCCCTAAAGTAAAGTGCTTTCATTCCTTTGTGCCTGATGCAGTGGATTCTGAGCTGAAGGAGTAACCGCAGCTTTAAACTAACACAGAAATGTCATGTTTAGATTGTGGACTTGCGTCAAAGACTGTCAGACTGTTTCATGCTCCCAAAGATTGCAGGCGTCAGGTTTCAGTGTGTGAACGCCTCAGAACTCAGGGTTTCATTTGCCAAGTGGAGAAATTGGGTGGAGATGAGATGACGGTGTTTTGTTTTAAGAATTTATATTGAATTCTGACCTTTACAGCTGTGGATACAAAGAGCAGTTAACATTTATCACCACACTGAATCTGAATCCTGACAAAAACAGTTAAAGTGCAGCTACTCTTTACTTTGCTGCTAGAGGAAATCGAACTTTTACTGGTTCTGTTTCAATACAGAGAAGGTGCGATTATATTAAATCTGTTTAATGATAGTACGCAAAATACAACCTCAGCCTGTAGTGGTGACATCAACGAGCAGTTTTCTTTTCTTTTGTGGGAAACCTGAGAGTCCCTGCTCCTTCTGTGTTTTAGTTAAAAACAAGAAGAATGAAAGAATAAAGGGTGGGAACAGGATTTAAAATACATCAGCCACAACATATGTGCAGAATATGAGCTGTGTGTGCTTTGGCAAAACATTTGTTTGGAGTGGCGGTCTGTTCAGACACACACCCCCGCAAAATCCAGCCGCTCTGCAGTCACACCTACCGTCAGCTGGCTGGGGAGGAAGTGACATCACACTGTGCGGTGTGAGGTCTCAGCAGGACAGAAGCCTGACACGACCACGTTGTGAAGCGTCAAGACATTAGTTTGCAGCTCTTATCAAATGAAACATGTTTGAATCATTGTGTAATAAGAACGTTTGTTATAGTGTAACCGGGGTGGGATGGGTTTCCTGGGTAATTCATCTAGAAGTGAAAAATTGCAAATTCCAGGTCAGGACACATAATTCTAAAACATGTATGAACACAAAGTGATCCAGCAAATATCAGAAATCTCAATAAGCTGCAAAATAGTTGTAGAAAAAGATATTCCCTTTTCAGTCCTGCAGCAGTGAGGACGATTAAACAACTTCTTACTCCCACTCCAATTCGGCATCTCATGAAAGGAAGATTATACTGACAGAAGTAATTGATTTAATGTCAGTGTGACCCTTGGCACTAAAGACCTCTGCCCCCTGGCTGGGAACCACTGCCTATGAAATGTTTGGTAAATACAGGCATGGTCTGTGTCCAGTGGGTGGCGACAGAGTGCTATATGTCCATTTGTTTCCTTTTTTCATCCAACAGGAATGAGATGCTCGTACAGATGTTTTTCTTTAGACTGATTCTACCCGTCTTCCTCCAGCTGCTCGTATCTCCATCTTCCTAGTGTCGTCGATCAGGACCTGGTCTGGGTCAGCTCCACGGGTCGGAGCGGTGTTTGAGGTTGTAGTTCTGCAGCACGATCTGGTCTTTGATCTGGTTGATCAGAATCTGGGACAAGAGGATCCCAACCAGCTGCAGAGGAGAGAAACACAGACGAGAGGATTCAACAGATGGATACAACTACTGTGCTGCTTTCAGACGTTTCACTGAACTCCAGAAATTATCCAGAGGGGCGATACTGTATGTGAAACGTAAAGTCTGGATAATGTGCGTATGTCTGAAAACGGCTTTAGTCTCTTCCTGGTGTCTGATCACATCTCACCTGTGGTATAGCCAATCCCAGTGCGATACCTCCCAGTAGGAACATGTTGCTGTGAATCCAGTTGACTAATTTATCTATGCAGCCATTGGTGTAGATGTGGTCTCCAGCTTTGAGGTACTCTAAATCCTGCATGCCCTGGCCACACATGGTGTTGACAACCTCCTGCACATGTGGACATATACTGATGAAAAAACATGAAATACAAAAACAAAGCACAATCAAAGTGTTATCAGCAGCGCCTGCAGAAGGACGACCTTGTCTTTGGACATGATGCAGCAGGAGAAGGGGACAGAGCAGCGCTCTCTGCTCGGGTTGTCCTTGTTGCAGTTGAAGTACATGTTCTGGGACCAGTCGTTGTACGCCACACCACCACAGCAGCCAAACTGAGGAGACGGACAGATGATCAAAACGGAAAAGATTAGAGGACATGTCCGATATCAGTGTGAACAGATACAAAAACCTTGTTCCGGCTCCTTTTACTATATTTACTATATATAACCCTTACCTCCATCTGACCAAAATCAATCATGTTTTGCAGATCGATGTCGTCTCTGTAGTGGACGATGGCGTTGTTGATCATCTCAGTCACTTTGCCCCGTGCCTTGGAAGAGTATTGAAGAAGTGGTTTAGCAGCATGTAGAGAAAACATTACACATACATTCATACAATCATACAATCAGAGTATTTATGATGAAGCTATACGCAAAAATAATCTAATCTAATATAACAATGTCATTTATTATCTGTGTTTACATTTATTTCAAAGTTTTGAAATAAATTGTAAATGTGAAAAATGTGTTTTCAAGCAGATCAATTTTATGCCTGCATTAAACTAACAAGAGAAAATCCTCCATGTTGTTTGATTTACCGTATCAGAGAAGACGAAGCCCAGGATTCCAGCAGTGAGCTGCAGCAGGAAGATCACTGTCAGAGAGATACAGAACTGAGAGGGAGAGAGACGTGGTTACAACCATGTAAATATTATCTTATATAATCTGAGGATAGATCCAATGTGATCCTGCGTCTCCATAGAAACTCAGCTGTAGCTTATTACAATCACAAGAAAGTCCCCTTAAGATTTAGCCAAACCAATAACTATAAATAAAGATGAACGATGTGACAGCTCCCTTAAAGTGAAGTCAAAGCGCTTGTTGAATAGATGGTCTCTGTCATTTCAGAGAGTTCTAATCACGCTGACCTACGTTCAAATGTTCATGTTTTTGATACGTTTGATTTCAGTTATTTGATGCTATAAAAACAAATTATGTTTAAAGTACAAGATGGCGGCCCCTGTATGCAGGACATTCTTTGTGGGACCCCTCACACTCACTACATGTTAAACACCGTGTCTCTCTGCTCCGCCACATGTCAACAGACCAAAGTTAATCAGAAACAGGATGCACTGAAGCCCGGCTGCTGAGGGACTCCTGACTTACTGTCTGCAGGAGGCAGATGTTTTCTCGCAGGGAGCCCACGCAGCCACAGAAGGTAAGGATGAACATGAGGAGCCCCACCACCATCAGCATTATCGCAGGGTCCACTGACAGACAGGCCAGGGCTGCCTCTGAGGTGAAGAAGAAGGTTTGGGTGTGAGAGAAAATCAGTTTCAGACAGAAGAAAGAAATATTTAGAGATGTTTTTAATTATTTTTCTGTTTATACATTTACAAACTGTTATTTTCCTTTGTTGCTTTTTATTTCCTTTAAAGAATCTAGATTAACACAGATTTGGACGCTGTTTTCCTTCTGTTCTACATCAAAGCACCAGTAGAGTCCCGACACTCGACACTCCCTCACTAAACGTGCTCTCTCTGTGGAGGATCATTTACCTGCGTGTTTCATCATGCGAGCATACACGCCGATCGACACCATCACGAAGGAGATTATCTGAAAAGAGGCCGAAATAAAAGAACGATTTCTTCACACAAACATGATTAATACACAGAAACCAGACACAACAGAGGGCGAAGAACCATTTCTGTGTTCATACTTGTCGAGGGAGTGGCACCGTTCACCAGAACACTCAGTCATGATAATAGCAAAGATGTGGAGGATGTACAGAGGCACAGACAAGGCTGCTGTGCCCATAGAAGAAAACACTGAGCGAGTCCAGCGTCAAACGAGACGACCACGACGTGTCTGGAGGAGATTCTGCACATCCTCTCTGCCTCACTTTGACTGAATTCGACCTGGCAGCAACCCGTACCCTTCCCTAAAGAAAGACCCTTTCACTGAGCAGGCTCAATAGAATAATAGGGAGCCCTCAGAAACACTCTTCCCACCCTGAATGAAGTGGATCCAGTTACCACAGCAGCTCCTCTGTGGTCGTGGGGCAAAGCTACATTTGTCTGCCTGTTTTTGTAAAAGGTATAGTTTCACAGAAGTGACACCTGAAGCCAACCAGTGGCTTTTTTAAAGTGTTAAGTTATGTTGAGGGTCAGGAAATGTTTGCAGCCGTCTTAAAAGCATAATTAAATGCTTTGTTCCTTTGGTAATTTAATTGATTTCCATATTTGATTGATCCTCCTTCCTAATTGCAAAGGTTATGAGGAAAAAATGGACGTTCCAAGGAGATCCCAGACGAGAAGAGAAGAAGCACAGACCTGCAGTAATCATCGCTCCTGCTCACAGCTCATTGTAGCCGGAGGCAACAGAAATGACAACAACACATTCCACATTGAAGAGCTTCAAGTTTTTACACAGCCTTTGTACGTGACGACAGGTCGAGCTCACACACTCACACTGGGTGGTTTCAAACACGCTCAAAATGAAGAACGATGTTTGAAAAGAGAAGCTACGCAGACTTTATGATGCATGGTTTCGTTCTGTTGTTTGCTCGCTCAGTGAGAAATAAGAAAATCTCTGAAGGTTAAAACCTGTGAGGGCAGATCAGCTGTAAAAAAAAAAAAAAGCTGTAAGAAATCTGCTTATGTTACAGTCACAAGGCACCTGACACTGAAACCCACCAATGTGAACTTTGCTTTGCTCACTGCTGAGCTGTGCTGTTCATTTCAACCCAAATTCTTTACTTTTAAAGTCTAAAGTGAAATCAGTAACATCCTGTTACATGAATGAACTTCTCCTCAGTCTACAAACTAAGTAAAACTAAATCTGCCTGGTGGAATCAATGTATGTTTTATGTTATAGGTTTGTTTTCCTTATCAACTTTTATTTATAAGACTTGTATTCCTTCAATAAAAGTAATAAGATGGTCGTCCCTTTATTTACTTACAACAACAGCAGCAGCAACATTTAACTTATTTCACAAAGAAATCTTGTAGATCATTTTCAGTTTCTGCATGGACAGAAATATGTGGTTGGGAACTATCCTGTTCTGTATGAAACCTGAAAACCACAGCCAGTCGATTTACTGTGTGTGTGTGTGAGATTAAGAGAGAGAGAGAGAGAGAGAGAGAGAGAGAGAGAGAGAGAGCTTCCTCTTGCCTGACCACCTTTCACTCCCACTGAAACTCAAATGTTAAAGAATAACTATGTTAAACAAACAACTACTAAATCTCACTCTCACTCTTCTCCATAGAAACAACATCACACAACATAAGCAGGTCACACAGTGATCGTTATAATAACTCAAATAACAGAGAAGTGACTTTAAACTGTGTTTAAACACAGAGCATATGTAGGTGGTGAATGATCAACCTGCACACAGGGACTAGTTAAAACACTGTGATCTGTGATCACATCATGGCAGCACTCACCCAGAATAAGAAATTAAACAGGAACAGCAGATACTTGACAATCGGACTGACGAAGGAGAAGTCCTCGTCACGTCCAGGTGCTCTGCCTCTGCCTCCCATGGCGACGTGTGTATCCGTCTGATCCAACAAGCGACTTAACTGAGCAACAACACGAGGTGAGGAGCGCACAGAGAGGTCAGCATGGTGAGGAAGATGAGGAGCTGCTTTGATTCGCACTGATACTCGAGTTGACACAGACTGAGACACAGACTCCAGGGTGTGTGTCCTCTGACTGGGCGTGTAGAGACTGTGAGTGTGAGTGTGTGTGTGATAACAGGATATGACCATGACAGAATACATACATATGCGTACTTTTAGTTCCATTTACAATGCAAACAGTAAAGTGCACTTTTAGTTTACATTTTATTACATTATATTATTTTATATTATATATACTAGTCAGTGCATGTTATGTTTTGACATTAAACTATGACACTAAAGCTTTATCTCAAGCTGATTGGATGTACTTCAACGTGTTCAGAACAAAATGTTTATTTTGATAATGTATTTAAATGTAAAACTGGATACATGTATAGCAGGTGAAACTATAATGGAAAGTTCATTATTATTATTATTATTATTATTATTATTATTATTATTATTATCTACCAGGCACTTATGTTATTAATGGCTTTAGCGAAAACGTTTTATTTCTGGTTCAATAATAAATGATAATGAATAAAGAACATTTAATGGTAAAGATCGTGAACAGACATTCTGTGTTGCGACGATCATGGGTGAGATTGTGCGCCACCTACTGGCAGAAACTGCAATTTCCCACAGCGACGTTTGTCTATTTGACTTATTTATGAAATAAGTGATACTGTGATAATCTCATTTGTCTTTGTATATAATAGTTTATCTGATCCCTCATCACTAACACGCGCTGTGTTTTAAAGAGTGGGAGAGTTCCGCGGTCCGACCTTTATTTTGAAAGAGCGCGCACACGGAACAACAATGTTCACAACATCCGTTTCACCCGGAAGTGATTCGTGTTACATCCTGCTTTGTAAGATGAACGTCAAAGTTGAACTTTATTCACGTTAGTAAACCAAGAGCATGTCGCGGAAAAGCAAAGGTTTGTCTGATCGTGCATCGAAGTGTCATCCAGCATCATGATCCAGTTATTCCAGCGTTAGAAAACTCTTATTGTGACAACGTCAGCTGAAGCTCAGGCTTGTGAACGGTCTGAAGTGAAAACATAAGAGATGTGTCCTCTGCTGTTCCCAGGCTCCTCTCTCCCCCCGGCCTCCCTCCACCTCCTGGTCCCTCCTGTCAGGCTGATGTCTGCCTTCGTGCTTCAGACGCTGCAGCAGCACAGAGTCGAGCACTACGACAAACTGCTGGACTTCATCAGCCTGGTCACACAGATCGTCCCTGAGCTGCTGAGTCTCAGTCAGAGAGCTCAGCTGGTCCAGGGTCTGAGAGCCAGGGTGAGGACTCACTCTGATCGACTGTGTATCCCTCAGGAGAATGTGTAAAACAAAATGGAAATGCGAACATTTCCATCTTCTTCTGTTGAGAGGGATCTCGTGATATTATGTGATACTCAGGAGCAGCGACCGAGGCGACCTCCTGTCTGTTCCTGCTTCTGAGCTCATTTACTGTATTTATCTTTTTAGTGTTGTTACTGTATTGGAATTCAATCTGTTCTAACTGTGTCTTTACCTTTGCTCTGCTGCAGCTGGTTCTCGAGCTGTGTCGTGGTGATGGCGTCGCCAACTTGCAGAACATCCAGAGTCACCTGGATAAAATCCACGCCTGCAGTGCTGAACTGAGCTCCAGTGGCCAGGTGGCTTTTAAAGCAAATCATGGACAATATTCATTTAGAAACACAGAGATTTCTTTAACTGACATGAATGAAAAGTACTTTTGTAACTGATGTAACTATGAATACAAGGCAGATACTTCATTAGGTTGGCAAAAATGAACATCTAAAATAGCTGAAACCTTTCTCTGTGTTATTGTTCTTCTTGAAAGGCCAGTGGAGATATTCTGAAGACCTCATACACCAACTTTGCCAGCCTGGTTCAGAACCTGCTGAATGTTCCTTTTGAAAAAGAGCTCTTCTTCCAGGTGAGTTGAAATACATGCACATTAAACATAATGTGTAGATCTAATTTATGACAAAGACTAAATGTTGATCAGCAGCGATGATCTGTTTCTGTAGGAGGTTTTTCCTGCAAACTACGGCTCTGCTTACGACGAGAGACTCCAGCAGCTGGTGTCAGACTTCCTGTCCAGGCTGGAGCAGCTGCTGCCGATACCAGACCTGCAACAGGTGATGACAGTCATGAAAAGTCCTGGTTCTTCCCTTGTATATGATTATTGTTTATTGTTTCAGCTGCCAACCTGCTCTCCCCTGTGTGTCTCAGACAGCAGCATGGCTCACTGAAACAGCATCGGTGTCAGGAGACTTTGAGCAACATCTGTCTGACCCTTTTGCCCTGAAGTCTCTTCTGCTTCATCACAGACAACTGGGCACAGTCAGTTCAGGTGAGCTTGACACAGATCGGCAGAGAATTTTTATGATGAAAACTTTCTATCAGTTTAAAAGACCAAGTTTTCAAAAGGCTACTTTGTTTCTGGCTTGTTGCCTTTCTCATTTAATTCTTTATTTTTCTTTCTTTTACAATCAATGTAACTTTTCAGTGACTCTGATGTGTAACAACCTCTCATTACAGCTCCAACAAGCACTGAGGAAGACATCCTCACATTGGCCCTTCCTTCTCAATCTGAAGTGGCGAGGTACACTGAAGTGTACAACGAGGAGGGCGACGATGACTATGACAGTGAGGAAGAGGCCCTTGCATTGGAGGATTTAGAAGCTGAAGACTCGAGTCAAAGCTCAGATGTCACTGCGGATGATTGGTTACCAAAAAAGGAATCAGGTTAGACAAGCTTCACCAGCAGACCTGAAAGTTTAAAGGCTGTTTAGGTTTTTATATTAACCAATTGTGTTTTCTGCTTTTCCCAGGTCCTCTGTCTCGTTTATTCATCTGCCCCGAGTGTTCATTTGTTCACCGTGTTAAGAGGAAGGTGCAAGAGCACATCCAGAGCGAGCACCAGATAACAGCTCCCAATATTAAAAAACAACCTGTGAAAAAAGCCGCCGCAAAGTCTCAGCAGAAAGAGAAAGACTTAAACATTGAAAAGAGGAAATTAGAAGTCAACACGAACAACAAGCGGAAACGCAAACAAAAAGTCGGTGCTGAACAAAAACGGGAACGCAAGCAAAAGAGAGACAACTTGGAAAACAAAGAAAGAAGGCGACAGAAAGAGCCCATAGGGGAAGACAAAAGGTTTCTGAGCACGCGACCGGTGGACAAAAACTTCACAGAGGAAAAGACCAAATGTCTGTCGTGTGAAAAGGTTTTCGAACATCCAAATCAGCTTAAGACCCACATGAAGCTCCACAGCTTCCGCTACCACTGCAGCCAGTGTGAGAAAGGATTCACCAGCCCGTCGGGGTATTATCAGCACCAGAGGCTCCACAAGAGAGGCCGAATATTCTCCTGCAGCCAGTGCAACAAGGGATTCCTGTGCAATAATTCACTCAAGCAACATGAGCGGCTGCATGAAGGCCCCTCCAACCTGTGCACCATCTGTGGGAAAAGCTTCAGCAAGGCGGGCATCGTAAGACACATGCAGATGCACAGAGGGGAGAAGAATTACCTTTGCACCACATGCGGGAAGTCGTTTTTGTCTTCGGGGGAGCTGTTGCTACACACGCGCTCTCACACAGGTGAGCTCCCGTACACCTGCACCCGCTGCGGGAAGGGTTTCTCCAGCAAGAGTCACCTAAACGTCCACACGCGCTCTCATACAGGGGAGCGTCCGTACCAGTGCTCCGAGTGCCAGAAGCGCTTTCTCACTCTGAACTGCCTGAAGAGACACACGCTCAGCCACAACGGCGTGAAACCGTTTAAGTGTCCGAACTGCGAGAAAGAATTCTCTCAGCAGGGGAATCTGAAAAGACATTTGGCAACTCATAAACCTGACACGTAATTTCATCGCTGTCAGAAATCAGAATGAAGTCCATGGACAGTTTAATATCTTTTTTTTTTTTTAAACCTGTGAAAATGAAATGGTAAAGCCTTTAAATATTTAATATTGCATTCATCTTTGCTGAGATGAGATCTGAATAATAAGAGCGTACTGTTGGTATGCAGATGTTTACTACTTGAAATTGTGCCATGAAATTTCTAAAAAGTAAATCCTTTTAAAATTATCAGTGTTTGCTTTGGTGTCTTCATTATATTCAGGAAAAGTGAGGAGCGAACCAAAGTTATTTGAAGTTAAGAAAGATTTACCTTTAAGTCTTAAAATGCTGAGTGGATCATAATAAAATGTTTGAAACACTCAGTCCGGCAGGGAATGAAAAACTATCGCTATTAGAAAGAATCCTTTGTGACGAAACCTTTTTACAACCTTGAATTGAGTGTTTATAACATTCAGCCTGTTTTCAGCTAACAAGACATTTAATTTAACTGCAGGTTTTTCCAGACACAGTGTGAGGAAACAGATGTTAGCCCACAGACGTGCAAATGTAAAATGGAAGTGAAAAACAGCTGTAGGAAATGCAATTTATTTGCAATTTTTTAATAACATCATTCCTCAGATAAAAATGCAATGTTACAGGAATATACATCAGATATTAATTTAAAACTTGCTTTCAAGGGACCATACAGTCTAAATATACTTTTTCCTTTTTTATTTACTGTTAGCGTGCGTTATAAGCAAGACAGACTCTGTCACCAATGACAGACTGACAAGTTACAGATACAAACTGTACATTACTTATTTACAAATAGACTTTTTGTTTGGTTTTTCTTTTCACTTTTTATTGAAAATAGGAGTAGAAAAAGTGATTGAATTAATATTCTGATTTATTTCATTTGTATTCTTTCTTACTAAAATCTAAAATGAAATGAACGAAAAAGAAAAAAAAACAGGAACTCTCCTTTAGAAAAAAGAAAGAGAAGCAGAAGAAGAAGAAGAAGAAAAGGGTGTGTCAACTGTAAGGCCATGCAGTCATCACCAAGGAGACAAATGGTAACCGAGGAAACCAAATGATGTTGGGCCAGTGTCACTTAGCAACCTCAGAACCATGAAATCCCTCACAGAGTTGAGGGGGAGTGGCTTATGTTAAAGAACTCAGTTACAAAACAGCCACCTGCCTCCAAAGCTACTGCAAGCACAATAACACACTCTAGTTCATTTTCTGACCATAAATAGTGCTGTTATTAAATACTACATTGAACAGTAGCGCCACTACTAATATTACCACAAATTGGTCTGTGTGAGCACCTCTCTCCACAAAACAAACTCCAGGATTAATAACGGACTTCCCTCCGACAGGAAAAGAACGAAAAACAAGCGGCTCGCTCCTCTCAAAGGCCCTTGAACACTTTGCATGTGTAGTGAACTAAGACTACGAACAAGGTCAGACACTAATTGATCAGTAGAGAACGGAGCCACACAGCTCTGGCATTCACCCGGGAAATAAAGAAACAGAAAAGCCTTCATTAAACATCATGTGTATGGAGCTGTGGACCTGGGAACTGACCCGCCTGGATAGAGTTTTAGTTTAACGCTTGCGTGCTGCAGAAATAAACACTGATGATGTACATGAGGCTGTTGATGCTCTCAACAACTCATTTGTTAAAGCTGCATTTGCACACACGGGCACACGAGACCTTTCTGTTTTAACTATCTCCGTGGTAATGTGGGCGTTCTCGGCAAGATAAAATCACGAGGAGTCAAGTTTTGTAAAGCTGCGACGTGCTGAGCTGAATCCAGATGTTTGTGTGTGTGATTGACAAACACTGAGATCGCCACCTTCCATTAAGAGCTGCTGAAGAGGAAAAATATTTAAACATCAACCAGCTGATTAAATCTGACTTTCAAATACTTAAAGTGGAGTTAACAGACACCAGAGCATCGCTGCGTCCTACATTCAAGGGATGACAGTGCTGAGATAATGGTCATTCATGTGAAGTAGCTCTTTCAAATTAGAGAGGAGATGTAGATGCGGGGGGTGGGGGGGTGGGGATTCATAGATCTACTGAGGATGAGCTGTTTTCACACAAGAACCACTGACACTGAGAGTCTGCATCATTACAGCTGCTGCAGCACATCTGCAGCTGAACTACTGTCCTGAAGAGAGTCACAGCTAGAAACACTGGCTGGTACAGAAAACTCAAGTCAACAAGATTTGGCTGCAGCATCCTCCGACCAACGAATGGTCAAATATGCAGACTGGGACCTCCTTTCTAATTTAGCATTCAAACAAAGTGTGTGAGTAACAAGAAGAAGAAGAAGAAGAGGTGAGTGAACAATGAGGCTTTCATGGTTCTTAAAACACTAACAGTAAATTCACAATGCTGTAGTTGCTGCTACACAATGGGTGAGTTACATCGAGCTCATCCTACAAGTTACTTCTAAATCAATTGGGCGAGTGCTTCTTATCTACCTGGTTTCTTCCCCGGGGTGGTCAGAAATAAATTAGATTTTTTGTTCCTCACCAGACTTCTACATGCATCTATGAGAAGTGTCATGCATGAATATCCTATAAGAAAACAATTAAAGCCATGTGAGTGTTCAGATGAGTCAGTGCAGAATCATTAGCAAAAGATTTCAGTGCTGATAATGGTTTGGAACATTTTCACTCCACTGTGCTGTTTAATAAAATGCACCACAGTCACTTAAATCTTGTAGATAAATAAGTGTAATTCCATTGAATCGTACTGTATCCTGCTTTTGAATCGGTAACACTCAGACAAAGGCAAAGCTTCACGTAAAGGAAACCTAACAATAACATTTCTTCTAAACCTCGTGGAAACATCAGCTGATGGTGAAACTAACAAAACATTTCTCCTCTGGGTCTGAAACTGAAACATTCAACAATATTGCACCTTCAAACCAGCTCTTTGAATCCTCTGCAAAATCCATCCCCAAACTATCATTTCATATCTTATCATTTGTAGTTTTTATATATATATATATATATATATATGTATAATATCTAAAATAGAAGATACTCACAATATAAATTCGTATTCAATAATAATATATACCCTCTGTTACGTTCTGATCATGTTCCCAAAGCTTTCATTACCATCAACATCAAAATAACATCTGTACAACAGAAAAACAAAGAGGTGATCCTCTCTAGTTTCTCCTGAAAAGGGAATTTTCAAAGATATAATTTGATTAATTAAAATCCTATGACAACAGGCTAGACTGATTTTACCTAGAATAAAAGAAAATAAATCTATATTCAAAATAGTCCTCTTAAAATATTTTTGTCAGGATCAGACAATGATCGACACACACTTCAGTTTACAAGAAAATATAAACGTACATCTGCTGCGACGATGTTAGATCCACACGAGGAGAACAAGACAGCCTCACACAGATGTGTGTAAAGTTTAGGTTGAACAAGAAACTTGAAATACTTTAAAAATGTTTATAACATACTATCGTGCACAGCAGCTCTTCTCCGTGATAGAAGAAAATCTGACTTTCTATCCTTCGGTGGTTCCTCGATGTCAAGATAACGTCAAATAAGTTTGCAAGACGCTAAACTACTTGTTTACTTTCTGCTCTGCATCCAATGCAGTTCAAGTCCTCCATCTCTACACTTTCTTGGAAAAAAATAGAAGCTACATGGTTTGAATGGCTTGAAGCATAGAAAGAGAGAGAAAGAGAGAAAGATTAGTACTTGACAGTTTGAATTTTTTGGTTAAATGTCTTTAAAAGCTTAAACAATATATTTGTAAAAGTGTACAGTATATATATAAATATCTGTGTGTGTGTGTTTGTATTTATTTGTTGTAGGACCAGTTAAAGAGAGACAGGTCTCTCAGTGCTACAGACTGATAACGTCCAGACTTTGACCTGCGCTGACAGGCTCCTGGCAGGTTCACGTCTTTCAGCCCATTTCACAAAACACAAGACAAACACGAGAAACAACACGTCTGATTTTTGGATCCCTCTGATGCTTACAATTCAAAAGAAGGTGTGAAATGTTCATATTTGTTTGGAGAAAAGAACAGATTCATCCTGCGTCTACACTCAGAGCACTTATTAAAGTGAATGTTAAAAAGTAAACTTGTAAAGCAGACTTTCTTCATCAGATGAAGGACTGAAAAACCACCTCATCAGGGGAACAAGCCTTGGAAACTTCCTAAAAGCTGATCATGTTAAGTATTTCCCTTCAGCTCAAACATACAATATTTCCTCTTCAGTAAATATAACAGCTTTATCACCTGCTAGTTCCTTTTGGTCAAAAATACAGTCAATAAAGTTGGACTTCAATAAATTCAAACCGACCTTCAGTAAGTTTTTCTATATAGACCAAGTTCAGAACCAATATTTGACTAATTACATTCCAGAATACGTGCCTCGCCCTTTTCATTACTCTATAACATTCTGGTGATTAAATATTATATATTCATATATATCTTGCTATATATGGTATATAAAAATATACAATCATTGGCTAGTGGTGAGACAAAAGATATTATCATTCACATAGGACCAATATTTTTTTACCCCTAAAGAGAGAAACCCATGCACATGTAAAACATTACTTGAATATATATGTAATTCACCATGTCAGATCTTAGACGGCCCTGAAATCCAGACAGGAGGAAATAAAACCTTCTACGATCCCTAAATACGACTTTCTCACACGCACTGCTTCCAATTGTCATCAACCGCCAACTCGATTGTCTTCAAGGCTTTCACTCTGCGTCTCGGCTTTGACTTGAGCAGAAGTTAAATTAGAGAAGATGTGGTTTCAGTGAAACTTTGGGCTGAGATGGAGGGAGGCTGCTAAACGCAGCTGGAGCTTATCAGCCTGATTAAGATTTGACTGACTAACACCAGTCAGGCAGAGAACCACAGGAACATGAACACACACAGACGACCACTGAGGCTCCAGAGGTGGAACTCAAAGCTTGAATACAGGATCTGATCCAGCTGTGGTTTGGTGCACGCTGGTTTACTGGAGTATTACTGGTTTCCACTGTGCTTCTCCTGCTAGTTAGTCCAAATATCAGCTGTTGAAACCACACTGTGTTCCAATTCCATATTACATGCAAATTGTATCCAGCATAACTAAATACTAATCTTTATTGAATACAGTTCTGCTGTTGGTTTACAAGATATAAGCAAACTTCATAATTTCATACTAGTAGGAAGTTAT